CCTTGTCCCGGCCAGGACTAGAACCCGGGTCGTCCGACTCGAAGCCCAGTGCACTGACCATTGGACTACGGGAAAACGTGGCATTGGCGCGCCCGCGGTACAGTTGACCACGCATGTTAAAAGTTATTCTAAATCAAAGGTTGGATTTCCTCCTGTCCCCACCTCCTCCACTCGTGCGCATTGCAGCATTTTACAACCCCCTCCCATCCAAAATCCCTCCACTTTGTAAAAATAGACGATATGAGTACAGGCAATGCGGGGGAAAGGGTTGGGAATGTGCTTGAGAAAGGTCGTAATGTTATTATTTTTATTTTTCAGCGGGCCGAGATGAACTTAAGCCCTCTGCAAGCCGAAGTTCGTTTAAAACGCGACATTCGAGCTTGCAAAACCATCGCCATAATAATCGCTACCAACTTCTTTGCCCATGTTCCCGCAATATTATTTGCAGTGGTGGATTTAGAAAATCGTTCATCGGCCCAATCCTGGCTTGCATTCTTTGCAGTCTACATTTTTTACCTCAGTAGTGCATTGAACCCGATTATTTACTGCGTACGAAATAGTCGATTGCAATCCGCTCTCAGGCAGTTTCTAAAAGATCCCCTTGGATCTCGCGACTTTAGGGAGAATGCTGTTGTCACGATCAACGCAAGAACCATGAGTAATGATGACCGCATAGTAGGAACAAGGGACAACAGAGTGGAGCACGCATGCGCAAGCGAACTTGATCCGCTTGGGGGCCAAACAAGGCGGAACAATTCAAATGATCAGAAAGACGAAGAGATCATCCTTTCCATAAACAGGATACCGATAGAGGCCTGGCCTCAAATAAATGGCAACAACACGGAACACAGGGGATCTAGAATGCCACGCCCAGAGGTGCCCTCAACGCCTAACTCATGCCTGGAAGAAGAGGAAGAAATTGAAAGGAAACAGGAAGACTTGGACAAGGAAAAAACAAAGTGTAAAAGATCCTTATGGGCTAAAGCGAGCTATCACGTCTAGTGAGTCCTCTCTTGAAAGAAAAGTTCATACACACGTTATTACCGACTTAAAGGTGTCTACAGAACCAGTAGTAGTCAATTTGTCCTAAGCGGGCATCCCGCCATTCCCCGCGGGTGACTGCTCAGGGCAGTTTCGACTTTATTACCTCTCAGAGGATCTTAAGTCATGTTGATCGGTTGAGGAGTATCTCCACCCTGCATGAGGTAATTTCAATACTGAGATACTCATGAACACAATTCTCAGTGGTTCCCAACGAATGAGGAATGGTGCTTTACAATATCATTAATTCTAACGATGATAGGTCCGAGAAATTGATATTGGATCAACTGATAATCCCCTAGTTGATGTTTTTCTTCATTCGCATCAGTTGTCTGCATAACGTGGTACTGATATTGTAAGGGAAATCATTTCTTGGTCACTCAAGGGATTAAAGAGTTAGGCAACCAAACTAAATTGTGACTCAATTTTATCAATAGGCCCATCTCCTGCAATAGGTTAAACGTTGAGAAATTTAGGCTATAGCTTTTACACCCTAAAATCAGTTTGTATATTCTCCATACTGTTACGCTGTTTCCATGCATTTCAAAATAAAATACATATTTATACTTAATTCACTCTTGTACATAACAGATTAACAAGAAGGAAAAATAATTTTGACGCACTGATAAATTGCTCTAATGAAGAGCTTGGAGGTTAAATAAGTGATTAGTTTTCAAGTTAACCTCCAGTTCAGTTAAGTTGTTTAAATATGTCAAATGAAAGAAAAAACAGTGATTAATTTGAAGCTTCTGACATCCTCCCCCTTGCAACCCACAGGCATTTTGGCCCTGAGGGGCAGAATTTGAACCAATCAATCTTGAAAAATTCAAACACCCAGGGTATTGTCTGAGGGTGGAGGTGAGGGATCCTGTACAGAATTTGAACTCATGACCTCCCATTTGGCTTGTTAGCTCAGTTGGTAGTGCACTGCACCGGTATTGCAGAGGTCATGAGTCAAAATCCCATACAGGCCTGGATTTTTTGCAGGCCTTATTTTCACTACTGCTTAAGTAATGTTCATTACTGTGATGATTGCTTCTATATTCATTTCTTTGTCTGCAGTTCACGTATGATTTTCATATATTTACAGTCAATAGTAATACTTCAATATAATATGTTCGTTTGTCTCAAGATGTGGTACTTTGGAATTTATGAAAAAACAAGGCCCTGTTCTGTATGATACTTGTGAAATATAACCCCTTTGTGCGCCGGGACGAAATCATGTCGCCAATCATGGCTAATCTTGTTACAGTACCAATGGCTGACCTAGAAACTATTGTTTTCTTTCGTTACCACAAATGGTCTGAGCGTTCTGACCAGGCACTCATCAAGGGAAAGATAATTTGGCTTTTTAAATGTTCATTTCTTTTTAAATGTTAACAAAGCAATAGAGCTTATGTTCACGTGCATAAATATATTTTGGGTACGAATCATTTTAGCCCGAGCCTTTAGGCTATGATATAAGTGATATAAACTCTATTACTATTAGTATCACTTTGGAGGAAGTGATTAAATAAAAACTGAAAAAATGACAACAAAAAAATCTGAACAATCATGCGAGCGTCAACAACTTAATGGCTTTTATTTTCCCTCATTAGCAAATAGAAAAGCCTTGACTATACTCTTTTATGTTCTAAAGCACACAGGGAGCTGCTAGAATACGAAAGAAGAGCGGGAAAAACACTCGACTACGTCTCCCACTTCATGAGTGTTCCAGCCGCTTCCTGCGAGCTTTAAAACAGAACAAGGCTTCACTATTTGTTTTATAAAAAGGAATTCCTTATATTCCCCACGCACTCCTTTCAACTTTCAAAACAAACTTTATTTCCAAACCAAACAACAGTGTCGTCAGCATTCTCTTTACTCTCACAAACCACGTTACAATGAGCCGATCAAAGTCCGTGTTAGAATGGTTTACAGAATTTGACTGGTTGAACAAGATTAGAGCTGTCCAAATGACAAACCTTCAAAGTTCATAATTTACAATGGTTCACAACCTGAAATTGTTCGTCAGGTAGAATTTGACACTTTTGCCTGAAGTTATTTAGTCTTCATATAGAGTCTGAAAGAGAAATTTTCAGTGAATCCGGTCAAATTATCGCTCATAAAAATACACAAGTTTTTTTTCACACGACCAATAGAAAACAAACTGCTCAAGGCCTGTATTTAATGAAAAAATAACAGTCAAAAGGTAGCTCGAGATGACAGCGCCGTAACACTCGGTTGGTGTGATTGATGTGGCCTTCGACTCAGCTCATCGGAAAGGATATCAGAACAAGCTCTCAGTTGTTCACTCGAAGGGTGGCCGATGTAATTTGTGAGGCTTGCTTCACTGCGATGACCGGAGATCGCCATGATGAAATATTTTTGTGTGCTCTTAGCGAAAAAAAAAAACAAAAACAAGAAAATGGTAAGAGGTCCCCTTATGAAACGAGCAGAGCGATCCACAGCGAATCGTGTTTATTTTTAGCCTTATTCGTTAGGCTGTGATCTCAGTCCGTGGATTTTTTTTCCACTGCCGTTTGTTTAGTTCCCCTGGAAAATGCTCCTTAATGAAAAGGAACTGTGCCAAAGAACGCGACAAAAGATGGAGCTCAACCATCACATTTCAATGAAAGCGAAATAATTAAACTGAGTAAGAACATCGCCTTTACATGTTCAGAATACAAGCAGGTGCTAATTGTTTTTTATTTTATACATACTGAGAATTTCTCTACGAAATCTGTTGTCTCAAAACCCAGTTCGCAGCTGTTTACAGCCAATCAAATCAGAGAAGCAACAATTTCACGAGTGGAAGAAACGTTTCATCCAATCACGAAGAACCTGTCAGAAGTACTGGGTTTTCGCGCCTTCTCCTCTTCCTTCCCCGTCAGTTTACTTGGAACTTAGCTTCATCGTTGGTTGTGTAAACATTTTGAAAGGGGTTTGGAGTTCTGTAGCCAAATTTATTTATTAAAATTAGCTTTTTGAGATGGCCGAAACCTCAAGTTTACGATTTCCTGCGTTAGAAAAGCCCCCTAAATAAGTTTCTTCAGGAGGAGGATACTGAGCTCAAAGCCTTCAATATGCAATGCCGCAAGCGACGCAAATAACAATACTTCACGCTCTGCTGCAACCACCACTTTAAAGGCCGAAGCGGAGGCTTCGTTTATAAAAACCTCGATGTTTCCTGCAGCTGTTCCCTTCAGTGGAGCCATGTTCCATTGTGGATAATTCAACATTACTATAAACACTGTGAACAAGTCACTAGGCACTTAAACAGATGGTTTAATTTCTACGGAACGAAGCTACAAACAAATCAAACAAATTCTTGAATCGTCGGATGATAACGACAGCCCACCACTTCAAAGGAAAACTCTAACTTGCTTTTTTAAAAATATGTGTTCACTTTTATTTCAATGACTTGTAAGCTTATTCGAAAATAAAAATAAAACGAAACAACAACAGAAAAAAGTGAAAATCTCAATATATATGAAAGAAACAAATTACAGAAGCAACATCACCAACTCGTACAAAAAAGGCCTTACACTTGCCCTCCCATGAAGTAATCTATATTTATTTGATAACCACAACATTTTTCTTCGCAAAAATTAAATGATCACCGAGCCAAATATTAATTTGAAAGTAATTATGTATGCACGAACCTAGCAAAATGTTAGGTCGAAAGGCGGATTTGAGCGTGGGTGGTCAATAGATCGATAATGAATACCGGGTAGTACCTTAATCATTCAAAGGTTTATCATGAAAAAAGGCACCTGAATCAGACAGTAGTTTGTGCTTCTTAACAAGAAATCTGAATGCTCTATCTAGCATATGATTATCGATAACAATTTCAAAATGTCACATTCAAAGCTAACCGACCAAATTCCTACTTTTTTCTTGGGCTGTGAGTTTAAATCAGGACTCTTTTAAACATCCAAAAAATGAAAGGTCTAGAGGTATTGCGTAAGAGAACCGTTTTCGTGTTTGATCACAGACCCATTGTCATCTAATAGGCCGGAAAAAGGTTCACTCTCATTTGCTTTGCGCGAATAACCAAATGTGCGGCATAAAAAGTCCTTCTAAAAAATCGTCAAGGAAAATTAACGAAATGTACTCGGAAAAACCGTTCTTTACCAAGCTGATAATGAGCGGGTT